TTATTGCAAAAATCAAATCATTGTCGGATTTTAATGAAACTTTCAGGACTTATTCATAAATGAATGAAATTATTTTTGAAAAAATTTTTCTTGTTTTTTAGAAAATCTTGGTAAAAATATTTTTATCTTTATTGCCCACACACACACACACACACACACACACACACACACACACACACACACACACACACACACACACATTTAATTTTTATGAAATGTCGTGAAAGTCTTTTTTGTAATGCTTAATATTTATCTAAGTTATAACGACGAGACCGCAGAGAATCATAAACATTTTTTTGATCGTGTAGGACGCCAGTTACAGTAAATCTGCTCTGAATCGTAAATTAAAAAAGCAATACAATTCAGACATTATTAAATTAGAAAAACTTTTAATTGAATTTTTTGAATAATATAAATTATGGACACCATTGTTTCATGAAAATCTTTTTGCAATAAATAATGAACAAGAATGGTTTTCATATCAAAAAAAAATTAATTAGAATAATTTATAAACTTAAATTTTTTAAAATTCTGTATTAATTTATAGCTGTCAAGTGATAGTGTTATTAAATAAAAACTGCATTTACTAATCATATTTGGAAACGCTTACTACAATACAACGACATCAATTATTTTTAAAAGAGTCTTTTTATTTTTGTCTGTTTGTAAACGTGTCGATTTTTGTAAATGGCGACCCCTAGGCACGAGATTGTCATAAAATAAAAGTGAGCCGGAAAGGAGTTCCACAAGCGAGAAGTACGTGAGAAGAAACTCTTAGCATAGAATTTACGGCTACATCTACTCAACTCAACTATAAATTGAAGAGATCTAGACGCCAGTCTAATGCTGCACTTAAATTCAAAGACTCTAGGTACCATAGCGAAGAGCAATATTTATTTTGTAAATTTAATATTACAGTATTATGGAGCTTGACGAAGTACAAATAATGGCAGTCTACAGCAACTGAGTAAACATAATTCTAGCATAGAATTTACGGCTACGCGTAACCAGCTCAACTGTAAATTGATGGGATCTCGACGCCAGTCTAATGCTGCACTTAAATTCAAAGACTCTAGGTACCATAGCGAAGATCTCATTCGAACAATTACCATGATTTGTAATTGATACTTAGTTATTGCTTATAATTATAGATTTGTGTCCGCATTTTAACCAACATTTGATAGCTAGCTCTTGTGCGATATCAGTAAGAATTGAATTTTGAACCTAGTTCTTTAAGAAGAATCGATCGCATCTTAATATTGATCACATTAAGTAGAGACTTCCATTAGTTCTCTGAAGAAAGAGCATACTATATATAATGTATAATGAAAAAATACCCCAATCCTGATAAAAAAAAAAAAAAACGAATTAAGTTTTATCGTTAAAATCATTATGTTATTATGAAGACGAAAGGGCCAAATATTCTTGATTATTTAATTATATTTTTTAATACTTTCTTAGAACGTTCGATATTTTGGTTAGAAATCTTGTTTTTCTTGCGTCAACAGATTGCAGAGTAAATTTTAGCTTCTTTTTTGGTGGTGAAAGACACATGGATTTGGAAATTCTGGCAAAAAATCAAATAACTGTCGGATTTTAGTGAAATTTTCAATACTTATTCGCAAATGAAGGAAATTACTTTAGAAAGGTCTCCTTTTTAGAAAATCTTTGTGAAAACATTCTTTTACATGTGTTACACAACGACTAATTTTACGAAAACTCAAGAAATTCATCGAAATATTTTTTTAATTATCAGTTAAAAGCAGAACTCCTCGGAGAATTTAAATTATCAATTTCTTTTTGCAAAATCGGACCCCGTCTTACAGAAAACCTGTTCTGAATCATAAAATAAATAACGCAATAAAACTAAGACATTATTTAATTAGAAAATCTTTTAATTGTGTTTATGAATAAGACATGTTAAAGACATTATTCTCTTAAGAAAAAAAAAATGTTTTCGATGAATAATGAATTTCACAAGATTTGTTTTCATTTTTTTAGAAGTTTAATTAGAATATTTTATAAAGATTTAAATTTTTTTAAAATTCAGTTTTAATGGTATAAAGGTTAGGGAATATTGTTATTAAGTAAGACTATATTTACTAATCATAAATCGTAAAGCTTATTACAATTTACGGACCTCATGTATTTTTTAAAGAATTTTGAATTTTTTTTGCTTGTGTATAAACATGTCGATTTTTGTAGATACGGAAATTCATATACAACATTATCAGAGAATACGAGCGATAACTAGTAAATTTAAAGCCAAAGTATCCAAAAATTCAATAACACATTAGATTATGGAGAATATTTCTCTACTTTTTAAAGATTACTGAGTATTTAAAAATTATATATAAAAGGCGCCCACGTTATATTCTTCAATTACTTTTTACAGATAGAACAACAGAAGTCATCAAGCTGTTAACACATCACCAGATTAAATAAACAGCTATAGCCGTGTTAAAAAATTGCACTTCTGCGATATTTTAAACTTAAATTAAATAAGATTTGTTTAAAATCGGATTAATTATATTTTAAATCAGCTAATATTCTTTAAATAAAGTTTCGGAAAAGTTTCTTTTACTTTTGGAAGATTTTTAATAAAGAGAATTACACTCCAGATGACAGGTGGTTAACAATGGCTTTAAAATAAAAATAAAAATCTGCAATTTCAAAAGGAAAACTCCTTCCAATCAATTTAAATTAATTTTGAAATACAGAAAAGTACTTTATTTATTGGAAATATTAAAATTTAATCTACCAGCTTGAAATTAAAATCTAGAATAAAGGTTCAAGAAATTTAATTTTAAACATTTGGTATTGCGAATCTATGGAGGTACCTACCATTAAGCGAAAACAAAACATAGACCTCCACGTTTATATAAAATTTCGTTGTTCCGTTTAGAGAGATACCAGTACAATTGTGTATTTGTAAAATCTACGATACTGTCTGTTAAAATGTTAAAAAGCAGCCATAAACAAATGCAGCAGTGTTACCGTTTTTACTGAAAGACACAAGAATTTTGATTCGTAAAAGTGATAAGAAGTACCATTAAAATTTTTAATCAGTTTTTTGTTTAACTACACAGTATTTAAAAGTAAATAGTCTCCGGATTTGTATCCAGCTAGACAGACGCACACGCAAACATGCAAGCCAAAGTGAAAAGGTCCCATAAATTTATGGCGTGACACATCTTAGTCATAAACTTTCATTGCAATCGATTTACGCTCATCTTACAAGAAAAAAAAACAAAACAAACTAACGGCAATAAAAACATAAACACTAACAAAAAGACCCACCCACTCGTCCACTGTTTCACCCATTCATTGAAACCTCTACGCAACACACTCCAGACGCACACACGCACACCTACCTATCCCCAGTTCAACCCACAAACATAGACACCCATTCTACCCTCACACATAACACCATTCAGCAAGTTCCCTCGAGTGTAAATGGCTTAATAAACTGACACGTCAAAAAATAAGACTGTCGACACGGTCACAAAATCTGCTTGTTCGTTCTTTTGACGAAACTTTGTAAAAGAAACGAAATTAATATTTTATCACATCGCTTGCCTCCAGGGCATTTCATTTGCTAACATTCGATGAAAATGCATGTAGAAGGAATTCTTCAGGATTCTTAAAGAATTGAGATATTAAGTATCCTTAACAGATCTTCTGAGAAGCTATAGTGAACAAGTTTACCAGTGGGTGCTGACAGTAGCGTATCGTTTTCACTTCGAGTGGCACTGAATAATGTCTTGTGTTACCAATGTGAAGGAACGTGTTATTACTATATAGTAAGACCCTGTTACGTAACCAGATGAATATACACTTTATTTTAGGATACTAGATGGAAAAACATGTCAAAATCGCTACACAATTACAATCGTGTTTCGATGCCTATCAACGCATCTCATTAGGCGATTGTAAATTACTGGTGAGTGAACAAGTTGTTCAGATTTAAAAGCAAAATATAGCCTCTTCTTTTAAAGAAAAATAGAAAAAATAGGCTGTATTTTGCTTTGAAAGCTGAATAAATCGTTCACTCGTCAGTAATTAACTATCGCCTGATGAGATGCGTTGATACGCATCGAAACACGACTGCAGTTGTGTAGCGATTTGAACATATTTTTCCATCTAATATCCTAAAATAAAGACTATTGCTGTACTTTGTATTGAGCCCTCTTTTAAATTAAATGCTACGAATGTTGGAATTGTACTCAAATCGCTCTCATATTACCTCGATATATATATATATATATATATATATATATATATATATATCAATTTAAATCAATTTAAAAGACAATAAGAAAACTGTAATAGTTGCCGACGCGTTTCGCCCGATGTAGACTTTTTCAAGGCAAAACGAAATGAATTTATTAAACGAAATAACTAATAATAACAAAACAAAATGTCCTTAGCAACTTGAAAAGTCCACATCGGACGAAACGCGTCGGCTACCATTACAGTTTTCCTATTGTCTTTTACATTTATAAATATTGTCTTTTTCTACAGGTTAACTCAGAATTTTCTCATATATATATATATATATATATATATATATATATATATATATATATATATATATATATATATATATATGAATGTGTGTGTGTGTCTGAATGATAAATTACAAATATTACGTCTGCCTGTTTTTATCCTAATCCTTTCATATTCACGAGTATTTTTTTCCGTATATTGATTCTCACATTGTGATCGAGTCGGCCGAAAGCACGTCGGCTCTAACAGCGGTTTCTGGAGCTAAGAAATGCAGGTTCGAATCCTTCCTGATAACGAATTTTTTTTAATAAGATCTCTCGAATATTCAGGCCGGTAGATGAAAATAAGATACTGTTTCAAAATTAAACAGAGCATCTACTCAAATATCAAATCAAACAGAATGCTGCTACGTTTTGGGATCAAACATTAACGATAAAACATCGTTTCTTCAGTTCGTGAGGTGACAAACATTGCCACCACGCTTTGCAAACATGCGGAATAGACTCGTATTTTTGAAATATTTCCCTCGTAGTTTCAGGAATAGCTTAGCGGATAGAAGAATGAAAACCTTTTGTTTTTAGTTCGTCTGCTTGCTAATAGGTGGCTGTGAAATAATGTAGCAAACACTACAGCAAGAATGTAACGCACAGCTGAAGACTTTTACCACCTCCGGCTTTCCTCTTTTCCTTGCCAATTCTAGAGTAGCGGACACAATTTCCTTTTTATGCTAACAAGTCCAATGGTGCCATTACCAATTCTTTAGATCGAAAAGACATATATCCTGTGATTCAGTAATTTTGTTTTTTTACTTCAAATACAAATACTATTCTTTCAAGTATTTTATAATTTTATTTCCCTGTTGACCTCTTTAGTTTTATAGCATCGACTTTTATTAACTGTTCCAATATCTATTGGTTTCATATTTATTTAGCTTACTCTGTATGTAGGTATAGCAGCTAGCCAATCCCTATTACAGGCGCTTGCTCAGGCGCATTTGTCTTTGTTTGACACCCACAAGGCCCGTCCGTGGTTAATATTGCAACTATGCTGAGCAGACCTTAGTTACAGTTTTTGGGAAATAGCGTGTTGTCTAGGTCAAGCCTTGGCTACGATGGCTTGTGACTTTCTGCTAGCATAGCTATCGACGGCCCCCATGTGCTCCGTCTACCCAATTTCACTCACAAGGCTTGGGTCAACCCGTGGTATGGTTTTTTTTCAGGCACTTTCCAAAGGTGCCGCACACTGCGATCGACTCTTCCAGTCCGATATCATCAGGAAGTCTTTTTCCTGATAAATCAACCGTGGTGAGTTTCGAACCCGGGTCTCGTGATCAGAATACGAACGTTCTAATGTGTCCATATTTAGTTTAGTCTACGACGAGACCAAATGTTGATAAGAAGATTGTTTTGCGCTAATTTCACAAAAGTGAGCGGGCACCTTGTTGTTTTGAAAAACAACAGAATTCGAAATCCAGGATTTTATTTGGACTCAAACCGTAACAATTGCTATTTAATGCGTAACTTTCTTCGCCATCCAGTCGGATTCGATCTTTATTTACATTTAGATTTATTTAGATTTTTATTTGGTTTATTATTTCATTATATTTTTATTTTATTTTAATTTTTCGTTCCTTTTTCATTTTTTAGTTTTTTTATTGTTTTTGTGAAAATTTTACTTTTTTTTCTTTTATTTGATCGACGTTAGTTTCTTTCGTTTTCTCTTCGCTGTGTTTGTGCCCTTCCTTCCTCTCTTCCTTCCTCTCTTCCTTCCTTCCTTCCTTCCTTCCTTCCTTCCTTCCTCCCTTCCTTCCTTCCTCCTTCCTTCCTTCCTCTCTTCCTTCCTTCCTTCCTTCCTTCCTCTCTTCCTTCCTTCCTTCCTTCCTTCCTTCCTTCCTTCCTCTCTTCCTTCCTTCCTTCCTTCCTTCCTTCCTTCCTCTCTTCCTTCCTCTCTTCCTTTCTTCCTTCATTTTATCGTCTTTTTTTTCCATTTTTATTTATTGTTTTAATTCTCTGGTTCCTTTTATTCTTTATCGTTTTGAAAACATTTAAGAAAAAAAAACAAACAACAAAAAAAAAAAAAAAAACGCTGCGAAGAGTCACGTGGTCTTCTAAAAATTCTTTTGTATTTTTCCCCAAATTACTTTCTTTCGAACTTAATCTGCTTATGATGTGCAAACCTCGCTTGTTCTCTGCAAAATCCCAAGACAATCAGTTTGGTCAAATGCCAAGAAAATATCCAAAATCTTCTTTGCCGGAAGATTGCTGTCTTATTCCCAGTCTTCTTATTAAAGAAGAATGGTAAATATAATCGGAACATTTCCAAAAACACACAAATTACCTATCGTGTCAATAGCGTTTTCGATGTCCGCTCAAAGACTCAGGTCGAACGGAAACATTGATCGATGTCTCCCCAGACACGAAAGTATTTCTTCCAAGGCCAATGTCACTTCTAAAAAGATTACAATGACGAAAGTATCTTTTAATATATGGACAACATTTGCAGACATATAATATTAAAGAAGTACAATTGCTTAAAGTATAACAGCCTTTACCAAAGCTGGCTATTACTCATGTTGGAACATGTTTCTCTTTCAAAAGACCAAATATTTATACATATATATATATATATATATATATATATATATATATATATATATATATATATATATATATTTGAGTTACATGTCCGTTAGGAGTAGTAAGAAGAGTAAAGGCCTATAAAGATAAAAAATTAATTGATTTGATCAAATCGACAAATATAAGGAAATAAATAATAATTATTATTTTTCTTTTTCTTACTACTGTCATCACATCTTATCAACCATTTTATAATTAAGTAACAGCCATACCCAGTTGGTCGATCAGAAAAAGCGTTCAATTAGAATGGAGCAAAAACAACATATTTATATGTAACGGAGTCTATCTTCTTCAATTACTTTAAAGTACTTTCATTAAAAACATTTTGAATGAATGCAGTTACTGATATAACAGAATTAGTCTGTATTTATTCAATCGAAATTAGCCGAGGACATGAAGGGATAAAACAGGCAACATGAAGACCCACTTCAGACCACAATTATTTTGAAGGTTTTGAAATTCAATTTGTCAGTGTGC